CAGGGTGTGTGTCTTTCTTAGACAATGAATTATCGATGGGCAAACTTGAATTGCTACATCGCGTTACATGGCACTGATACAGTGTCGCAGAGGCGTCTCTGTTTTACAAAGAGTGTCATGATGAAGACATCCTGGTCATGCGTTTCTACACTTCAGCCTGAACAACAGTGTGCCTGGAGATTTGTGAGAACTGTTTGTGTCTGCCCGGGGGCCGCCTGAGGGAGCCGTGGGGAGGTCACTGCTCCCCCGGGGCTGGTGGGTGCAATGCCGGGTGGTGAGGCATTGCCTCGGAGAGGTGTAACTTGTGCTGTTTGAATCTTGTTTTATTGTTAAGGCTTTCAAAGGTTTTCTTAGCAAAGTAGTTTAAAGGAACCTAGGTCTCCAGTTGATTTCTATTACAAAGAAGTCATCTTCAAAAGAGAGTTTGCTTTGGAGACAGAGACTGAACTAGAAACAAGCAAATCACCCCGCCACCAGCGCTTTCTCAGAACTAAATGTGAAGTATAAATAGGGAACAAAACAGGAAGTAGTGGTTTGCAAAAAAAGAAAGACATAGTTGTAGCTGCCCTAAAAAGTGCCTTCCCTTACACCGTAGAGGTGGCTCAGGGACGGGTGACAGAGTCACTTACCTCCCCTCCCAGCAGGGACAAGCATCTCCCAGCCAGCCTGGTCTTGAGGCTCCCGAAACTGCCCTTTAACAACCTTTTATGAATATTTGGGTCTGTCTGCACATCGCGGGCACTGGCTAAACAAGTGTGCTTTCTCCTTTCAGGGAGCAGGGAGGGCAGGACATTCCCAAAGGAGGCCTTCTTACCAAGTCCCCACCCGGCCCAAGGGGCAGGCAGATGCCCCCCTTCCCCAGTATGTGTGCTGGAGTCTAACTAGGAAACAGCTTTCTTATTTAAGGCACCGGGCATTTGGAAAATGGTAACGTAGGAATGAAAGGGGACTGACACTGAGCCGCGGTCCCTGCAGCTGCCTTCCCTCCTCCTTCCCCCTGGGCAGGGCCAGGCCCCCGCAGGGCGTGGGACCCTGTGCGCCTGTCCACAGTGACTGCTGCATCTGCGGTGGGTTTGTGTCGCAGCTGAGCGACTCTAAGCCTCGGAAATCTAAGGAAGTTAGGGCGAGCCTCCTCGAGCTAGCTGACAGAGAATGAGAGGAGTAAGCCCAAGGGGAAAGAAAGAGAATCCCAGGCAAAGGGAGCTGTACATGCAAAGGCCCTGTGGCGGGAGGAGGGGCCACAACTATAAATAAAGAGCTGGATAAAAGGCCACCGTGGCGATTCCATGATTTTCGGGCTAATGGTGCTCAAGAGAGTGAGCCTGTTTATTTTCCCACTGTAAATGACCTACGTGTTCTGCTCAAGTGCTTACAGATTTTTCCTTTTGCCTTTGTGTGTTTTATTTTCACCAGGAATTGTTGGAGATGTTTATTCTTGAAGAGGTTTTCTGAAGACACAGAGAGCCGCTTCATTTTGGGAGACAGCCTCTTAATAGGCCTTTGAGTATTTCCTTTTTATTAGCTGTGACCTTTGCTTTAAACATTTGATAAATTGTCATCGTCTGTCTTCCATAGTTATGCTTTCTCTAAAAAATACTCCATTTACCTTGCTGCCACTGCATGCCACATTCGGGAACCTTTCCTATTTGCAGTATTAATCTTTGCTATTTTTACTTTTTTGGTTCACGTCTTAGTTTTGGAAAGGGAGATTTTGGGGACCCTGGAGTTTCATCACCGTTGTTTCTGGGTGTCTGGGTCTGTTATTGAAAGACCACTGAGTAAGCGCCTCCTTCCAGCTCTTTAAAATTATTCTGAGAAGACATTTAGAGAATCCCCCATGGCTAAAATAACCTCTGCAGTTTTTCAAGTCCCTATCTCATTACTTAAAGCTGTATTTATTTGTGTATTAAAATTATATTTATTTGTGGCAGGGAGTCAGGAAGTAGTTCTTTCCTGATGAGCACGTGAGCTGTGCCATCATCCAGGTGTGGGAAGTGACATGGACAGTGGGAGGACTTCCGGTCTCTGCTGTCTCCCCAGCTGCCCTGTTCCCTCCTGTGCCACGAGGAAGGGTTCACTGTTGCTCCGTTAGCATGAAATTCATTGGCCAGATTCAGCCATCTGCAAAGTCCTTCGTACTCCTACGACAGGTGCGCTTCGATAGAAGGATGCAAGCGGAAGTAAAACAGCAGCAAAGCCCAGTTTAAGAAACAGCTTTTTTTCCTAGGAAATTTTTTTCTGACTTATTAAGAAATTTGGGATAGTTAAGAATAATCCAGAGTGATGCAGATTTTTGGAGTAATGTGCTAATTAATTTGTCACCCTTCCCTTACTCTTCAAATCCTATTCAGTAAAGAATTCCATGAGGGTGCATCGCCCTCGCCAGTGCAAGAGCGCAGCTAGATGGCCCTTCAAGTGGACTCGCATTTCCTCCAGAGCAAGAGACTCAGTGCCTTTCCTGGCTGCGGGTTTTCTCTCGTTGACTTTTTAAGATTGAAGTGTAGCTGATATACAATGTTATTTTGGTTTCAAGTGTACAACACAGTGACTCGACCTTTATCAACATTATTAAATGGTCACCCCAATAAATGTAGCTACTGTCTGTCAACATAGAAAGATATGACAGTATTATTGACTATATTCTCTATGCTTTCTTTCATCCCCATGACTAATTTATATTATAATTGAGATTTTATGCCTCTTTATCCCCTTCACCTATTTCACCTGCCCACCCCAGCCCCTCGCTCATGGTGACAACCCATCTCTTCTCTGTGTCGATGAGTCTATTTGTTTTGTTCATTTGTTTTGTTTTAGATTCCACATATAAGTGAAATCATACAGTCTTTGTCTTTCTCTGTCTGGCTTATTTCATTTAGCCTAATACCCTCTAGGTCCATCCATATCGTCACAAATGGCAGGATTTCTTTTTTCTTTTTGTGGCGGAGTGACATTCCGTTGTGTATATGTACCCCGTCTTCCTTATCCATTCACATTGACGGACACTTAAGTTGCTTCCATACCTTGGCTGATGTAAATAACGTGGCATCTCTTGCTGACTTTTGATCTTAACCTTAGCAGATACCCTGCTGACTTCCTCATCAGAGGTTATGTAGAAAGGTGGAGAAGCATGTCTAGACTAGGAAAAACTCCTGCTTCCAAAGTTTGTCAAGATCAGCAAACAGTGAAGAAGCCAGAAACTTGATCGTGGTAGTTCGAAATGGGACTCAGACCAAGAGTCATATGGCAAAAATCTTACTGAATACATTTTGGTGGTTTTCCAATGTTTTTGGAAGCCTCTTTTTTTGAAATGAGCCCTTTGGGTACTTGTGGGCACTGCAGAGTACAGATGTGAAGTCTAGAAATAGAAGGATGTTCTTTGTTTACACGTCATTGGTTCATAGTCACTGACCATAATTTGCTGACTCTCAGGTGTCCTTGATTATATGACATGTCATTAGTTTATGTGCCACTAAGAAAGGAAAAATGCCCTCTGGAATTCTGGCATGCTTACATTGCTGTAGGTGCATCGTGATCTCAGAGATGTTATTGTGTGAAAAAACATGCATCTTAGAATCAGTGAGATTTGGTATTTTTCTTAAACTGGCAAAAAAAACAGGGAAAACTGACTTCCTCAACAGCTTGTCTATTTCTTTGAAATATTTAACAATACATTCCATAAATAAATTTGTACTTTAAAGTTCTATGTACTAGGTATGACTTTCCAAGAACAGTCAAAATTACTGATAGAATGCTGTTCGTATTCAGAGAATTAGCAGAGAGACCTTACATTTGTAAAGGATGTCCAAAATCTCCCATGTCGAGCATTTAAGAATTTCCACTATCTGAGATTTTCCTTCATGAGCAAATCACTCTGGTGCCCACGGGGCTGTGCAGAGTATTGTTCAGAGGCCACCTCTATCATCTTGCCCAACTTTTCCTGCAGCGTTTTGAGCAAAAGCCTGACACTGTTGGGTGCCACTTGCCTTCAGAGATGAAGTTCATCACCTAACTTCATCCCTGTGTTACAGTCTAAAGGTCTATCTGACTTGTCACTTTCCTGAACATTCCAGGAAATCAGCTCATGATACCACCATGTTCTCTGGGTTGGAATTGATCGACTACCTCTGGCTGCAAGATTAGGCAAAGCTACCTGAGAGGCTGTCAGTATTTTTGATGCTAAGAATATTAGAGGACATGGGTATGTGCTTAGGGGAGAGGATCTGTACGCACACTTAGCAATCACTCGTAGTCCCACCACCCCTGCCACGGAGGCATTGCGGCGTGTTTGCTTTTACTTTCTCACCATACATTTTTGCATAGCTAATTTTTCTGTGTACTTTATGTGATGTTTATTCACTCAGACTTATGTCATTAAAAGAGTATTGTTAAAGGCTTTCAGTGCATTGATTACCTTATCCTGTAGGTATGTTACGTGTCCATTTTATTTTTGCAATTCTAAGTCATGGTAAAATGATCACCTGTGCATGTAAATCTCAGTCCATGTTTTGATGAAGGTGCATTACCAACTTTAATGCAATTGATTTGTACTGTTAAACTTCTTTCCCGGGGAAGAAAGGTCCTAACAATTTATAACCCATCCAAAAGGAGAGGAGAGAATATGAGAGAATGGCTGTGTTTATTTGATACTATTATGAGATCAGTTCAAAGTAGGACCGACTGGGGAAACTGAGATGTACATGGACAGTTTTCTCGTTGCTGGTGACAAGATGGGCTGTGTTTGGAGCTGAGCATCTCTTGTCCTCTCCACCTAGCCAGGACATTCCCCACTCCACTCCAGCCCACAGGAATTCACTCGCCTTGAAATTATCCCAGGAGCCCAACAGCACCGTAAAGGCTCCTTGTGGTGCCCGGCTCCCTCGTGTCTTCCCCTCCAGGAAGGACAGGGAAGGCCCAGAGCACCAAACCGGATCCATGTTTGTCTTGCAAACCCAACAAACACTTCTGTCTCTGTTTTGCTTTGTGTCTGGACTGATTCCTAGCACCTCTCCTGCTGTGAGAGATTTGTTTCTTCCTCCTGCAAGACTGGCACCAGCAGAAATGCAGTCTCCGAGGGTCCCGGGGAGGAAGCGAGGCCGGCCCCCTCTGCACTCGACGCCTGTGAGGATGGCAGTTCATAACCTGTATTCTGCTTCAGCTGATTCTTTACCAGCAGTGAAGACCCCAAAGAAAAGGGGGCGGAAACCTGGGCACAAGGTATGGCTCCATCGCCTCCCTTCTCCAAAGCGGCCTTGGGCTGGGGCACGGGGGGCTTGGGCAGAGCTCACAGCAAAGCGTGATGACAGGTCGGGAGTGGGGTAAAGACGGGATGAGACATCAGGTTCTCCCGGGGGAAGCGTGTGCCGGGCGAGGCCTCATTGTTACAACACGGCACCCGAGACCTGCTGTCATTGTCGCATCCGTTTTTACAAGTGAAGAAAGCTGGTCGCACCAGATGGGGGAAGTTGTAAGGTGAGCAGATTTTAGGGTCATAGCTGAACACACATTATGAAGCGTTGCATGTAAATTAGTGTTTCAGACACTCCGCTTTCTCGAACTGTGAGGAGGGCAGCTCTCGAAGCCACTTCCCAGAACTCGTTCGTCATTTATTTTAGCAGAAGCAGATGAAGCCCCTGAGACATTTAGGTCAACAATGCGAGCAGGCCAGTGTCAGAGGACATGGACGCATTTCTCCCAAACAGGCCTCAACAAGGGGACTCATCATGAAATTTCGGGGTGTTAATTCATGGTTTCCGGCTTATAAAAGGTGCTGACGTTAAGTTTGCCTACATGGAGGCATGTCAGGCAAAATTAAAATCCCATGACCCTTTGAATAACTCATTATTTGGCAAGGCTGGGGGGTAAAGAATAAATTCTCTGATGTAGCTGCAATAAAGCAGCCCAAGCCCAGGAGGGGTGGGGGGGCTTCTCCTCTCCGATGGTTTGAAGCGGCGACCAGAGAAGAGGGGCTGGTTATTGAGCTTGTTCTCTGTGAGCCTTTTGGGAGTTAGAAAATGAGCTTCAGAAGTTTTCCTTCATTTATTTTCCTTGAAATAAAGAGCTTGTTTCCGTCTTGAGATCTGACTACTCCAGCCAAAATGCAAATTGCCAATTAACTCCCATATATTTAGGAAAATGTATGGAAATTATTTCAGGTCAGCAGGAAAACAAAGCTTCCGGAAGAATCGGTAATGAATTCAGTCTTTATCCGTTTGGTTCTCCGCAGCTCTTCCAGATACTGGAGAATAAAAATGGTAGGCAGTGGCGATGGGGGCTCAGAGTTATTTCGGGGCCGTTGGCCTCAGTAAAAGGAGCTTTAGCTCAGCCATCTCGAGACGCAGAGTCTTGGGTCGCTGGCTGTGTTCTAACAAAGAGCTGCCGCCTTTCCCCGGTGGGCTCTGCAGCCTCAGGCCCAGGTCTCTGAGGCTGGCTCAGGGGCATCTCCTGGCTCAGCCCCCTGCTCAGTCGCTGGGGTCTGGGAACTGCGTCGGGAAGCCCTTCTGCGGGTGGGGCCCACGGGCAAATCAGGATCCCAAGAAACACACTGAAAACTAAACTCTCCTACCCGGCTTCTCCCACTCCCCTGGGAGCTGTGACCCAAGAATGAAAATTGCTGACAGACACAGCATTTCTGGGGCCAGGAAAAATGAAAATTCAGTCCAGGGAATGCACCTGACTTTGCAATTTTCCTGTCTCTTAAAAAGATCAGTTTTCAGTTCTCCGAACCCTCAGAGACACCCCCGGGCAGGAGGAGGTATGGTCAGCAGGCAGGGCAGTCCCTCCCCAGAGCAGGCAGGTCTCAAGCCCACACGCCACAGAGTTTCTGTTCTGGGCATAAAAGCCGCAGCTCTTCCTAGTGTCTGCCTCCCATGTGTTTGGGGCGAAATGGGTGGGAATCATTTCGGACCAGCCACTCCCAGACAGCTGCCCCAGCCACGGGCTCAGTGTCCGGGAAGAAGACCCCTAGAGCAGGTGCTGGTCCGCGGGGAGTCCTCACCCCCATGAGGACGTGTGGGGAGAACCGTGTGAAAATCTTCACAAAGCTAAAATGATCCCACTTAAAGGAGCATCCTTTATTCTGAACTACCTGCTTCCTACTATCCTGGTGTCACCATCTACCTTATTTTATTAAGTGTCCTATATTATCAGGATTTGGTAATTTAAAAAATGTCCTCATGTGGCAAAATAAATTTGGCAATGTATTAGGTCTCTCTAGTTTTATTTTGACAATTTCTTAGACCCTGAAGCCCCATTTCACTACTAATGAAAGGGTTTTAATTGTGGAGAAGCCAGCAAGGAAACTGCACAGTTTCATTCCATTTACCAAATGGCCATTACTTTGGCAATTTTAACTACCTGGGACACAGTCAGGGGGCCAGAAGTTGTTTAAAAAAAAGTGAGCAAGTGGAATAAGATATTACTTGGTCTACCCTTAAAGACTTTGTATTTCACTACTAAGAAAATGCTTCCAAGCCCTTCCTCAGAGTCTTAATTGTAGACATACTTCTTACCAGCTTAATTACAACAGTTTAATAGCCTAAGATTTGAAGGGGAAGATGTTTTGGGGTAAAAGACTGTACACCCAGCTGGACATTGAAAAGTGCAATTACTAAATGATACATTAATTATATGGAAATAATAAAATATTCAATAATATTATCCATATTATATAATGATAATAATATAATTTTGTTATGTCAATAATAATATGATGGTGATATATGCATACAAATAATATTACAATAAATGGCAAGTGTTTGAGTCTTGGGTGGGCTCTTCCCCAGGAGACTCTGAGGGCGCCCGGTGTGGGACGGTGTTGTGGGTCTGTGCTGCTGGCATGGGTCGCTGGTCGCATGGTGCAGGGCACTCTCCCAGGCTGCTCTGCCAGCTGCCTCTGTGCCCTGTGCAGGAGGACACTCTCTGGTCCAGCAGTGGGCACCATCCTCTCCCTTTAAGACTCGCACAGCTAGCACAGGCTGTGACATTTAATGCCGTCACTACATCTCAAGAATAACGTGAGTGAATCGCAGGCAGGGAAGGAGGAGTTCAACTGGCAGTCACACGTGGGTGCGCCAGAATCCGTGGGTCACGCCTCCCCCTGGGGCCCCGGCCGGCAGCTGCTTTGCTGGGGCGCACCCGCTGCCGCGAGGGCATTGTTTCATGGCCTTGCTGCCCCCTCCTCCCAAAGAGCCATATGCCAACTGCCGTGATAACTGCCTTCTGCGTTACCGAGTAGAACATTTACATCTCCATTTGAAGTGTCTGCTGTTGGTTTAGATGCTCAGTTCAGAGGTTTCCCCAAGGTTATGCAGGTTTTCCTTACATTTCATGACTAAGAAGATCACTGGTGTCTTTTTAGATAAAGAGAGAGGGTCCGCACCAAGGAGAGACCCTCGCTTCCATTCCGTAGATGCAGCTGACTATGACGTCTCCCAGCTTCCGTGTCTCTGTGATTGGGATTATGATACAAGCAGGAAGGATGTGCGGGGTTTTTACCCCCAGTACCTAAGAATAATAACGAACACCGACGATGATAGTCTGATGGAACCTTCCCTGCGCCCTTCTGTGGTTGAAGCTCTGAGTCAAAGCACTTTATGTCTGTTTTCTTATTTGGTCCTTGATAGTTTGATAGTAAGGTGGGTGGTCAGAAAATCTGCAGGAGTCAGGCCTGAACTGACCCAGCCCCGCAGCCCGAGGCCCCTGTGGGCAGCAGACCTCTACTCCTCGGCCATCTCTTTGCATTATTATTCCTAATACTAATTATGCTCCCTGATTCAAAAAAAGGTAAATTATATTCTGTCTGCTCTGCTTAATGAGCTAAGAAAAGGGAGACATGTTCTAGAAAGAATGTCATCCCTCAATACTGAAGACAAATAGTTAAAATGTTCTAAAATGATAGGAATTGTATTGGTCAGGATACAAATTCAGCTGTTGTAACAAAGGCCAAATGACAGTGGCTTAAGGAAGATAGAGCTAATTTCTCTCTCATGTTAAAGTCTGGGGAGCCTGTCTGGGGCTGATACGAGGGTTCCATGGTTTTGGGGACCCAGACGCCTTCTATGTCGTGGTGGCTGTACTCTTCTTAACACATGGTCTCCACGTTAAGCTCTAAAACGGCTCCTCCAGTTCCCACTGTCCCACTGTCCAGCCAGCACAATGGGGGCGGACGTAGTAGAGGGACGTCTTCCCCTTTAGGGACCCAACCCCACAGCTGCCCACGCCCCTTACACTGGGCATCTCACTGGCCAGAACACACTCACTTGGCCACACTTAGCTCCAAGGGAGGCAGGAAAATATTGTGCTAGGTGACCAGGTTATCAGCCAAAATTCAGGGACTCCATTAATAAAAGAAGAAGGGGAGGGTGGGTATTTGAGATGGTCAAGCAGCTTCTGCTAATTACGTAAAGGACAGTCTGCTGTTAACTGGAAAATTCATTTTAAAAAGAAAGTAATTTTCTAATAAACACGGGTAAATGCAACATTTTGTTTTGTTCCCTTGTTCTTATTGTCATCCCTTTTCCTCAAAAAAGTAATCGTTCTTGGCATTAACAAGGAAGTCAAGTTCACAAAAATCTCAAGAGAATAAACTTGAGTAGAAAGGGTTTTGTTTGTTAGTTTCAACATTTATTTAAAACCTCTTTCTCAGCTGTGTTCCTGTTAGGACTGTTAAATTGGCTTCAGTACTTCTTTGTCCGGATCTTGTATTGCCCTAGAGTTTTATCTGCAAACACAAAACATAGCTCAACAGTATGCCAGGGAAGAAGGGGCATCTCGTAACCCTTCCTGTGCTTATTTTCAAGGTCCCCGCCTGCTAGTGGTAGGTAGGGAGCGCCCTGTGGGGAAAATAGCCCCCAGCCACCAGGCCCCGGCCTTCCTTCAGCCGGAATACCTAGGGAGGTGCTAGCCGCCCCCCGCGGCTGTCCGGGCTGGAGCAGGGCTCAGGGCTGAGGCTCGGCAGCGGGTCTGGGGCACCTCTGAGTGTGATCCCAAACGTGACTCGATCATGAACTTGCATCCTCAGTTCAGCTCCCAGAGCTGCACAGTAGAAAGGTGTGGCCGCACGATAGTGTAGCAACGGTCACCTGACATCAGGGGAGATTCCGGGCAGGGGGCACAGCATTGCTAGGTTTTCACTGACCCAATGGGCTTTCTCTTGCAGCTCAAGGCCCGGGTTCTCATGACCCCTGTAGCCCTCTCACCTCCGCGGAGCACCCCAGAGCCCGACCTGAGCTCCTTCCCTCAGGATGCAGCCACCATTCCGCGCTTGGCAGCCCCACAGGCCCTCACAGGTAGGTTGGGCAAGTGCGCCCCGAGGCTGCCACGGCCTGCCCGCCCTCCGTCAGGTCTTTGTGAATGAGCGAGCTGTCTGGAGGTAGTTAGTTCACAGGAAGGGTGTCATGTGCGGGGCGGACAGCAGCTAGGTGACCAAGGACTCTGAGCAGCCGAGTGTAAGTGTCTCACAGCTTGGCTTGCTTGAAACCCGGCATTCTGCATCTCGGGTTCCGCTGTCTGCCCGGGGCAGGACTAGAAAGAGTGGCTGGTGGTCCAGGTTCTTTTCTTCAGAGCCAGGTTTACTTTGCACCAGTAGGGAGCCTACTCACCTTGACTAGTTTCACCCCTGGGTCCACACCTCCAGATCCCCCAAGGGTCCTGATCTCCCTGAGTCCCACCTGGCCCCCTCCCAGGTCAAGTAGAGCTCAACCATCTCCCTCATGGGGTGTCCAGGGACCACCAGCCCCATCGTAAGACAGAGCAACCAGGTACCATCTCTCTCTCTCTCTCTCTCTCTCTCTCACTCTCTCACACACACACACACACACACACACACACACGTAGTTCTCTCTCATCACAAACCACCCTGTGCTCACATCCCACTCAAATCCCTCCAGCCCCCTCCCTGCTCTTTGGTAAACACCAAACTTGTTAGCAGGGCAGCAGGACCCTGCGGCTCACCGCCCTCCTCTCAGAACCCGAGACAACACAGGGTCTCAGCATGTTCTCTTCCCTCCATCTGGAATGGTCTTTACTTGGCTTCCTGTTCCTCCCTTGTACCCCAGCTCAGGCTCTCCTGCCAGGGCCCCCAGGATGGGCTCCCCTGGTGCCCCCCAGTGTCTCTTGCAGACACGGTCCCACGCCACTACCTGGGATGCCCTGAGTAGGTCTGCCTCCCTGATGGGAGCCCCTGAGCTCTGGGAAGCCCGGGCCATGCAGATTGGGTTCACCATTTTCTGTGGGGCCTAGCACTGTGCCAGGCATGAAGGTCCCTTATTAATTAGATGCTCCCAAATCGTCTGGGATGGGTGCAAAAGCAGGCAGTCTGACGGAGTGAAGAGAGCATAGCCTTGACTTCTCAACAACTTGAGTCTAAAGCCTGCTGTGTAATGAATTATACACTTTATGAGCGGCTGTCTAGCCACTTTAAGCCTCAGGTTCTTCATTAGTTAAGGAAATACTAACACCTCATTCCCAGGCTTGTCTTGAGAGTCAAACAAGATAAATATAGAAAGTGCCTAGAATATAGTAACTGCTCAATAAAAACTAATTTTCTTCACCTTTGTTGTTACTGTTTAATCCTCCCCAAATCCTACTGTCCTCTATTAATGTCCCTCTTCAACACCCCTTTGCGCTATAGGCCCCCAAAATAAGATGCTGGTACCCTGGGATGGGGGCAGGGGAGACATAAAACAAGGTATGAATGGGTGGAGGAAAATATGACGCCTACTATTAATATTTGTTGTATCTCATCCTTTAAGAATTTCTACTTTTTTATTATGTTTAAAACATACAAAATACATGAATACAGTCAAGAATGTATATGACCTATAAATAAATAAACACGTTTTGGGGAACATGCTCAAAATCTCTCACCAATGGGGTAATGACCTGAAAGTGTGGGAACCATTGGTGGGGTCCCCTGAGTGGGCAGCTGTGTGCTCACTGTCTCTGAGATGTAAGCAGCATTCTCTTCAGAACTTCACTGAATATATGGTCTTTGGAGTCATCAGCATCATCTCGATTTTTTATTAAATAAAGGGTAACAAAAAAATCCCAGCAAACATTACGTAGAGCTCAACAGGTCCTTTGGAGACAGGACAGTTTCGCACGTGCATGTGATCAGCATTGAAGCACATTTTCTTATGCACGTGGCCCCTGTGGGCACCTGTAACAGGTGCCTACAGTACAGGCGTGAGCTCAGCGGAGGGGCTGCAGCGCCCGTCTGCTCCCGGCCAGGAGGCCCTCTTGAGAGCAGGTGCTGGCAGCTGGGCTGATTGACTCTTTGGCCTCTCTTACTTCTTAAATTGGAATTGAAGGGGCTCTGCTTCCGGCTTTTTCTGTTTCCCAAGGCCAGGGCCACGCGGGCATGGCTGAGGCCTCCCCCAGGCCCAGGCCAGGCCCGATAAGCATCCTGTGCTGAGGGTTTCGTGGGTCTGTGTCCACAGTCCGCCTCTACATCAATAAGCAGGCTGACGCGGGGCCGTACCTGGAGAGGAGGAGGGTGCGGCAGCTCCCCGAGCATTTCGGGCCCGAGAGGCCGTCGGCCGTCCTGCAGCAGGCCGTGCAGGCGTGCATCGACTGCGCCCACCAGCAGAAGCTGGTCTTCTCCCTGGTCAAGCAGGGCCACGGTGGGGACATGGTGTCAGGTAAGGCCCTGGGAGGTGTGCGGGGGCCGTGGGTGTCTCTCCCAAGACGGAAGCAGCCAAAATCAGGCTTGGGGGGCAGGGTGGTGGCCAGTTTCTGTCCTCCATCCGCTGGGTTCCAGGGGCCTTAAATGAGCCTGTGCGCTCAGGGCCTCTGTCAGGGCTTGAGGAGAGGATGCTTCCAGACTCGGACAAGAGGACAGACGCCTGAACTCTGACCCTTGGCTCTGTGCTCCCTTCCCCCTCCCTTGTCTAATCCATCCGGAAGTCTTACATTGCCCAGCTGCAGGATATAGCCAGCATCCGGCCACCTTTCACCACCCACAGCAACTACTCTGGTTCCTTAAAAATCCAAGATGATGCCCCTACTCCGCCATAGACCCTCCATGACTCCCGTGTCACTCGGAAGAAGCCCACATCCTGACAAGGGCCCGCCTGCCTGGGTGACCTGCCCTGGCTACTTCTCTGATGTCCTGGCCTCTTCTGAGTCCCACTCTGCTCCTTGCTGATCCTCTTATATTCTCCAAGCACGCTCCTGCCTCAGGGCCTCTGCACCGGAGGTTCTCTCTTTCTGGAAGGCTCTTCCCCAGATGGCCATGCGACTTTCTCCTGGGCTTCCTGCAGTCTGCCACTCAAATGCCACCTCACTGAGGAGCCTGACCACCCTGGTCTGAAATATCAGCCCTGGGCACTACTGTGCTCCATAGCACTTCTTACTCCCCAGGGCAGTGTGGGGGACTTGGGCTCTCACCCTCGTCTCACAGGGTGTGTTTTCTTTTTTCTCCATTTATTTATTTATTTATTTATTTATTTATTTATTTATTTTGATATCGTTAATGTATAATTACTTGATTATGGTTACTAGACTCCTCCCATTATCAAGTCCCCGCCACACACCCCATTACAGTTACTGTCCATCAGCGTAGTAAGATGCTGTAGACTCACTACTTGTCTTCTCTGTGTTGCACAGCCATCCCCATGCCCCCCACCCCCTACATTATGTGTGCTAACTGTAATGCCCCCTTTTCCCCTTATCCCTCCCTCCCTTCCCACCCATCCTCCCCAACCCCTTCCCTTTGGTAACTGTTAGCCCATTCTTGGGTTCTGTGAATCTGCTGCTGTTTTGTTCCTTCAGTTTTCCTTTGTTCTTATACTCCACAGATGAGTGAAATCATTTGGTACTTGTCTTTCTCTGCCTGTCTTATTTCACTAAGCATAATACCCTCTAGCTCCATCCATGTTGTTGCAAATGGTAGGATTTGTTTTCTTCTTATGGCTGAATAACATTCCATTGTGTATATGTGCCACATCTTCTTCATCCATTCCTCTACTGATGGACACTTAGGTTGCTTCCATTTCTTGGCTATTGTAAATAGTGCTGCGATAAACATAGGGCTGCATATGTCTGTTTGAAACTGGGCTCCTGCATTCTTAGGGTAAATTTCTAGGAGTGAAATTCCCAGTCAAATGGTATTTCTATTTTTAGTTTTTTAAGGAACCTCCATACTGCTTTCCACAATGTTTGATCACCAGCAGTGTAGGAGGGTTCCCTTTCCCCACATCCTCGCCAACATGTGTGGTGAGGGTGTGTTTTCTTAAACAAGAGCCATCAAGGTCGATTCCTTCTCCATCATCACTGGCTCCTCCAGTTTTCAGCCCCAACCTGACAGCTTCCAGAAGGAGCAGAAATCGTCACCACAGGCGAGAGGCAGAATCAGGAGCCATGCTCCCTCCAGACGTCCGCCTGCATGGGCTCTTTCCATCTTAGCTGAGCCTCTTACACAAAGGCTGCCACCTGCCTCAGGTCCTGGAGCACCAGGCCCCTGCAAGGGGATTGGTCTCCAAGGAGATACCTGGTGCCTTTGGTGGCCCAGCAGCATGGACATGGCCTCCGTGCCTCCAGGGAAAGGGGAGAAGATTCCTCAGCAGTGGTGGTGGAGATGGCCCTGCTGGTGGCTAGGAGAGGGCCAGGGCAGGGGAGCCGCTGATGTCGCACACCCCGACTCCACAGGGCATTTTAGCTCCAGATCCAGAGCTGGGGCGGGGAGGAAATTGGGTCTGACTTGATGGTAACTGATTAAAACAGACCTTGGCAAGGCCCGGAAGCATGTGTCTGAGCCACAGTGACTTCTGAGAGATTTCAGCAGGTGTGAGCAGAGACGGAAGGAGGCAGTACTGTGCCAAGAGGCCAGGAGGGGGTCCTGTTGTTGGGACCCCCAGGAGCCCCTTGGCCATCCCTCTCCTGGCTGCTGTTGGAGAGCCAGGGCCTCCATCCGGGGCTGCTCTCTGAGATCCTGCACCCTGAGCTGTTGCAGTAGGACGGGCGCCTCACCTCTGTGGTCTTCCTCCCAAAAAGCCCACACCCCAGTTAAATCAAGAGAAAAACATTGGCAAACCAAAATAGAGGGCTATTTTATATAATACCTGCCCGGTGCTCTCCAAAACCGTCAAGTCATGGACACAAGGAAAGAGAGACAGCCCCACGCCAGAGGAGGCTACAGGGATGTAGCTGGTAAACACAGGGTGACAGACACAGGACCTCAGGGAGACGACAGCAGAACCCAAAGGGTGCAGGGCTGGCGTAAAGCAAAGCCCCGACAGGAGCCTCCTCCATGGGGCTGAAGGGCCGCGGTCTTCCCAGGCACCCCGCTCTGACTGGCTGCCTCTCTGCCCCTCCAGTTTCGGCCTCCTTCGACGGGAAGCAGCACCTGCGGAGTCTGCCCGTGGTGAACAGCATCGGGTACGTCCTCCGCTTCCTTGCCAAGCTGTGCCGAAGCCTCCTGTGTGATGGCCTCTTCAGCCACCAGCCCTTTGCCAGAGGCTCCAGGGCCTCCGAGGAAGCCCGGGGGAAGCAGGAGGGCACAGAGGCAGGTAGGCTTTGCCCGCCTGCCTTTGGGGGCTGCAGGTGGTCGCCGCGGTCACTGCCCACCTGGCACAGGTGAGGCTGCTCTGACGGGAGTTCCCCTGCTGGAGGCCCATGGGTGGCCTCCCTGGGCCCCCAGGGGGGGCAGTCAGGGCTGGCTGGGACCAAGCCGCCTAGACGGTCCCCAGCCAGGCTGCCGTGGGGACAGATTGCTCTAGCTCCTGAGAGCTGACATCACAGCTTTCAAGCCTATGTCATTATAATTTAGACAGTGAGATCATATGGCAGACATGGAGTGATTCAGACACTCACCTTTGACTAATTAAGACTCACGGGTGCTTTTATCACTGTGGAGTAGTCGAAACACTAGGAAACTAGGGGACTGAGGAATCCCAAGGGAACAGGGGCTAAAGAATCCATTACACGTGCCCTGCCTGGGGCCCTCAGATGCCTGCCCATATCAATAAGGGTGTAGCATGGCCTATCACTGCAGGACTTTGATGGCCATGAGTCAGGCATGCTCCCCAGGAGGAGTCAGTTTCCCATCTCAGGATGGAAAGTGACCCCTGGGCTGAGCTGCTTTTGTGCCACCAGTCCCAGAGCTGCCCAGCAGAGGAGAGTAGCCAGTGGGAAAGCCACAGGGGCAAAGTTGCCACTGTTTTATCTGCCCGAGGGGCCAGATGCCAATGGGACATGCCCCTCCCCCACTTAGAGTTACAGATTTGCAGAGTTGAACGTGACTTCAGGTCCTGGATTCTGGGTTCCCAAAGACAAGCAGAGATAATTGCCTTTTTCTTTCTCTGGAAGCAGTGTTGTTGATTTATAAAGAACACATAGACAGTGAAACTGGAATCTAGTCATTATGTAATTATGCAAACATTGGCTGAACCCTCTTCTGCTCCAAGTACCATGTGAGAGCCTGTCTTGGGATAAGACAAATGCATGAGCTTGGGAAGTTTTTGAGGTTTTGAGTGGCTGTTATGAAATAACAGAAAATAGATACATTTGCTGGTATGTTCTCGTGGACAGGGTTCGGGTCTTCAACAAAAGGAAACTTGTAATCAGAGTAGCTATACCTTAAATCTAGGAGGACCCCAGGGGAGAATAAACTTAAATTCTTAGATTTGCTTAGACACTGTCAAGAACCTTGTCTACGATTTTACTTGAATCTGTCTAAAACCTGGGTAAACAGGAAGAAATTTGGCCTTTACAGGAAAGAGACCTGATTAAACGCGGTCTGTGCGAGCAGAGGCTGAATACAGCTGTGATTGTCTTGATACCACTGTAGGGGTGACCCTGGGAAGGCCTTCTTATCTCTCTGGGTCCTGGTTTCCTAAATGAGGGCTTGGAGTTGCTCATGCTCAACGCATGTTGTGATTCTGACAGTCTGTGAACCTGGCCTCTCCTGTAAGCCTTAACTGCTCAGAAACATACCCTAAGCCGATGGATCCTCTAGTGAATCTTGCAGTGAGAATAGCAGAGTGGTCTGATTTTACTTTGCAAACCCTTGAATCCTTGTTACTCTGGACAGCAATGACCCCTGGGACATATTCATAAAGCCACGTAACTAATGTCTCCCATTCTCCCTTACATGTGTCCTGTGGGACACTTCCCCAGCCATGATGGACTTTAGGACACATCTTGTGACTTTTGTGGCTCCTTTCAGGTAACAAAACATTTTCTAGTCAGTATGTCCTGGTCCGTGTGATAATCAAACTTCAAGTTTCATACAGAGAGTTAACTCCTCAGGTAGGGGAGGAAGGGGTGGCCGGCTTCTCTCCCCCACCACTGCCCAACCTCATGTTTTGGCTGCTCCCTGTCTAGCTGATAATGGTTTCGAATCCGATCAGAGTGGGGAAGGAGGGGAGGCGAGGGGCAGGTGAGTTTTCACCTGACCAGCCCCCCGGGACCCTGCCTCCAGCCAATGTCCACGCTGCTCTTTGTCCAGCGGGGTTCTTTGGTGATCTTACCTTCTCTCACCTGCACTTTCTTAGCACAGATGAGTGTAACTTGTCTCTGGCCGGTCACTGACAACTCTCTCCTTAGCCTCAAGGTATCCAGGGTGAGTCTGTAGCTGCTTTGGCTGAGGCCCCCTTGTGCCTCCAGACAGTTCTCTGGAAAGGATCTAATGATCTGACTTCAGTCTCTCTCCTGCCGGCCTGCGTCTGGTCCCTGAGACGCATCACACATCCTTTGCCCAAACAGGGCATGTGGGCTGGTCCCTGTAGGCACCTCTCCTTTGTTCTGCCGCCAGACCTGGAGATTTCTTGTGGGACTCAAATGATAACCCACTGTGGCTCTCAAGTTCCAGGAACAGACATCAAGCTATGCACACGGCCACCCTGAAGCCCTTGGGGACATAGTGGACAGTTTCTCCATAAATCATCTTCTAGCCAACCTGTGTCTCAACCTCTACAATTTCTTCTGCAGCCTGGAGGTGGGTGGTCTTCTGTAGGTATAAAAGTGACTTTTTACAAGATTTCTTTTTGCTAGATCTGCACACTGGACTCTGGTGTGAGGGTGTGTATTGTTTGTAGCCTTAGCCAAAACTAAGACTAAAACAGCTTCATTTTAACAGTCTGTGCCTGGAGCCCCCCTGCTTCCCTTCAGTGAACACTGAGGCAGCGCCCGCCTCGGCTCCCCACTTCTCCTCGCCCCCTCCCGGCTCGCCGTGCGGTGGGGAGGTCCAGCTTTGCCCGGGGGTCCTGGGCCGCCTCACCTTGTCCCTAGATTGAGGCAGGTGTTTCTACCTGGAAGCTGGTTTTCCTCCTGGTGGCCTGGCTTTGGAAATAATGACTCCAGCTGTCTCCATGATCCCTTGTCTAAATCATGGTTGCTTCGAAAAAATGAACTGCTCCAAACCACCCGACCTCGTGGTGAACGTTTCTCAGGCAGAGCCGAGGGCTGTGGTTCCTGAGTCCGGGAGCCCCCAGGGGGGAGGACGAAGCAGCTCCGCACCGTGTGCCCTGAGCCGCTGCGTGACTTCCCGCCAGCCTGCCGGGGAGCCCCCGGGGAGAGCACCAGGGGGTTGGCCTTGAGGCTGACATGTTTTTAGGATTGCCTTGGCAACATTCCCTTACAGGGTGACACATCAGATTATTAGCGTTACTTTAGATGAGGAATTCGTTTATCACCCGCTTTCCCACTGTTGTGGCAAGAAAGTCGTGTGTATTTATAAGAGGGAGGGGCTGGACGTCTTTGTTGATTGTAGGCTCCGTATCCGCCCACAGGACCACATTGTTCCTAAACTAGATCTTACAGACTTGAGCTCATTGGAACCAGGTCCTGCTGTGCCCTGAGCTTGCTCAGTTGAAGCTGGAGTGTGCCAGGCTGAGAGCCGCACAGTCAGAGGGCTGCTTGGTGCCCACTGGAGCATTTTCAGAAGACAGTTAATCAGATGTTAAGAAAATGCAAAGCCATGGCCTGTAAGGATTATCAAAGAAACCGCAATGCGTTGACAATGGATGATGCAGGTCCAGTCCACGAGAGCAGGTTGCATGGATCTGGTCTCTGTGGCCCCAAAGGTGGAGTCTTGGCGCTCAAAATCTGGCTGCGTGCATCGCCGTCGCCTGAGTAAGAAGGCAGGCACTCAGTGGCCTGCATCCTGCGACAGCAGAGCCAGGTGTTTTGAGGTCACAATAAAGTTCCAGAAGGAGGATTTAAGAAATACTTCCCCAGGTGGAGAACTTGGCTGCTGAATAACCGAGGGGACCCTCAGAAGGAAGCTCCCTCAGGAGTCGGGCCGAGCTGACGTCTGTAAAGACCTGTGAGAAGTCAGCTGCTCAGAGTTGACAGCCTGCGTGGGTGGCAGCGAGAGTCCCGTTCTCAGTGACAAATGCGGACGTCTATTTATTAGGGTCATGGCGGAAACTCTGTGATGCCAGCAAGATGTCCTCCCTGGTCCCTTCCAGGCTGAGAGTCACGGACGAAGGTGGCAGAGGATGGCTGGGGACAGCAGGAGGTCAGGGAGCCCCGGGAAGCCAGCCTGCGGCCCCCGCCCCTGAGGCCACAGTGAGGAGACAAGCAGAGGGGCCGGCAGCACAGCAGAGCCGGCCTCTTCCAAACGGGTTCCTCAGGCCTTTGAAACAGAGACTCTTGCCAAATGACCTTTGCCCTGTGTCCCCGGAAACACTGGGCTTTGGACCTAATCAGCTGCCTGCATTCAGTGAGGAAGGTAGAGAGCTTGGCTTGAGATGGGGACCCTCGGCCATTTTCCTCCCCTTCTGTCATTGGATGGCCGAGCGCGGTCTGTGTGTTAGAAGTAGAGCCACTTTCTGGGTGCTTTAGGAGAACGGAGCAGAAATGTGGATTTGGTATCACTTGTGGTTCTGCCAGAAGTCACGAGAGGATTGTAGGGGAGATCTTACCTCACCTTTGAATGTTGGAAAGAAAGGTCTCAATTGTAAATAAACTTTGGCCTGTGCTTCTCCGACTTCAGTTTGGTCAGGAACCACCCGGGCATCTTGTTAAAAAAGCTCGGTGGGGCTGGGAGCCTGCGTCTCTAACGGGCGCCCGGGTGATGCTGGCACCACCGCTGGCTGGGGAGCGCGCCCAGAGTGATGGAGTGGGTGCTGGCAGAGTCCTGCTCAGAGAGGAGATGTGCTTCAGACTTGCAGTGAAATAAGTCTGTCTGTGCTAGGATGATGCCTCCTCTGAACAAGGGTTGCCCTGAGATGGTCCAGGACCCCCGGTGGTGTCTGTGGGCTGGAAGGGAGGACAGCAGCGCGAGGGGGTGGAGGGGCCAGGCAAAGAGGAGCATGTGCAAACCCGGTGAGAAAGAGGAGGTCCGCAGCACGGGGGGGGGAGGGCGCAAGAAAGGAAAGAGTGACAATAGGCAGACTTCTCTGGGGGGCTGGCCACCCCCACGGCAGGGTCACTGGGGCCTTTTAAGCATCTCTGAGTCCCTAGGTGTCCATCTGCTCTCCCAGACCTTGCTTACGCATCCTCTTAATTAAGAGGCTCTTACTGGCTCTTCACTCTGCCGTGCATTGCGAGGATCTGGGTCTAG